GCTCTTCACTCCTCCTCCTCCCCCAAAGGAAGAAAAAACACCCAAGGATGTAGTGAGCAAGCAAAAATCCCATTTATTGAACATTAGGTTTTCAGCATACAGTTGCTTGCTCTCCTTCACTGATAGGTTTGATTTCTAAATCAACAGGCAGAAAACTCCTGTAAACATATAATATCCTTAAAGTTCAAGACCACAAACTGTTCTAAGCAAAAACGTCTACAGGGAAAAAAAGAAAAAAAAAAAGCCTTAGTAGCAACTACAACATCTGATCCCATCCAACTCTAAAGCAGACAGCATTTTAAACACGCACACAGTCCACTGACTTGGGTGAATCCAGTAAAATTCTGCAAATTAGTCAGGCACTTGATATCATTTGCAAATATGCAACCTCCTGAATGACTGGGAGACCGCAATGAACATGTCCCAGAATGTTAATGGAAAATAATGAAAGTAAATTTGCAACAGGAAACTTTTGCAAAGGAATGGGCCACGTGGTAACGCTCACTTCAAGAACTACTTGAAAAGCATGTCACCACCGTGGGGAAAAAGAAAATAGTATTTACCAACACGCTGTTGCTTCTGCTTTGAACTATTTTTCCTTTATAGCAGCAATACTATCTCAGCACGTCTATCACTTAATACTTACTGTCATTACAGAAATCTGCATTCCTTATCTTATTTTTAAGATCCTGAGATTTGTGGCATACCTTAAAAGAAAATCCCTATGACATACAGAACTCAGAAAGTCATTACCTTTTTTTCCCGGTCAGCACAATACTTGGAGAAGTTAGTTTAATTTTTACATAATTATTATCAAGGTCAAACGACTGATCATTATCCCCCTCACAAACACATAAAAAGAATAAAAGCCAAAAAGCACAAGGAATTTCCTAAAGCCACATAATCTATAAGCATTTTTTTGACACACACAACTAATCCATAACCAGCAATTTGGTCCAAAGAACAGCAGGTCCCAAGTAGAGACAGGAAAAGAAACACCTAAGTCATGCAAGACATAGGAAAAAAGTTCAGTAAAAAAGCTTTTATTAACTAAAAGAGATCTTAGAAAATAAACAAGCAAACAACAACAAGGAAAAGAAAAGTCATTTTCTTAACTTTTACTCAAATCAAAGTAGAAAACACCTTTAGGAGTGCATGTATAACACTACTGGCCAACTAGTCTAAAAAGGTCCAAATCCACTTTCTGATTTGGGTCTACGTAGGACAACGTCTCTATTTAACACTATAAGGTCATTATGGCAGTGCTTAAGCCCTAAATAACAAGCTTCAATTTACCTCCCACCATAGGTTCTACAAAACTACAAAAGTTATCTTAATGAACAAATAAAAAACAAATCATCCAAAGCTAAAATTGCATAAAGGGAAATAAGGACTAAGGATGTTAGAAACTTCCACAGGCAGAGACTTTTATCCAAAAACAAAGGTAAAGAAAAATCAGGGAATACTGGCAAGTCCTAGGTATGTAAGTTTAATTACCTTCTTTTCCTTTCATACTAACAGTTCCCTTCCGTGGCTTTTTAAACAACTTTTGTTACAGCATGAAGTTGCAAAAATCCCTAAAAGAGAAACTCCTCGGGAACCTGATGTTTCTGCTTTGCTCTGCAAGGGCAGTATCCACCCGGGGCGCCAGCAGCGGGACTTCCCAGTGACTGCAGAGCGGAGAAGCCACCGTAACACAATCATCCAAAAAAACCTGATAATTTGGGAAAGGATTAATGAATGTTTTACAACAGAAGAGATCAAAATATGCTGAGGTCTCCACTTTGACATCACTTAGGTAGCCCAAGCAATAATATGTTTTTTACAAGCTCTGAACTTCAAAAATAATTAAAAAAGGAGGTGATTGGAAAACTTCCTTTATAAGTAAGAAAAGTTCTGAATCGTTTTCATAAGGAGATACATTGAGACCATATTTTATTATGTGCATTTTTAGACACGTTTCAGTGGAATTGGGTATGATGCCAAGAAGCCCTGGAGCGATGGGGGTGGGTGACAGGAGGAAGAGAAGGGGCTTTAACTCCACCAAGAAAGTTGGGCACCTGCCTGCCTAATACAGCAAGACCTCCTCGCGTCTCCTATTTATCCTCCAATCTATTTATGTCAGGCGAGGGAACATATGAGCATAGCAGCCGTTACTATAGCAATGAAACGGGAAATTCTGAGAACAAAAAAAAAAAAAAAAAAAA